CCCGCCAATTCTTGCAGGCTCTGTTGAAATGAGATGGGTGGACACATACTTCCCGTTCACGGATCCATCTTTTGAGCTGGAAATTTTCTTCCAGGTGAGAGCGAGCGATTACGTTCTCTGTTTTTTTTGCTGTTGCTTTTTTTTTTTTTTTTCAGATTCCGACTACAAGCTGGGCCTGCCTGTGTGGCCCGGCCGGGAGGGGTCTGGGCAAGGTCGTGGGCAGCCCCAACAGAAAATTGAAAAAAAAAAAGTTAAAAAAAAACTGAAAAACAGCCCAGTAGAAAATTGAAAAAGAAATCTGAAAAACAATTGACAAAAAAATGGAAAAAACCTATGTTGTCACTGTTATGTAGAATTGCAGATCAAACAACTTTTGTCGGCTGAGGGGCATTTCGAATTTCCTTAATTCAGTAAATTACATAGCTATTAGCTAGGCTACCAGAGTGGCCTGGGACCACTTGCCCAGTCGGGCAAAACAAAATAAATACAGTACAAAATTACAAATAAAATAAAACATATTTTTAATTTATTTTTTTTATTTTAAATATTTTAAATTTGGTAAAGAATTTCGATGTGACCCTGAGGCAAAAGTTGTTCAGTTTATTTTTCTGCATATCATTTGTTTTTCGGATTTCTTGGATTTTTTTTTTCTTTTCTGTTTCTGGGACCTTCTTCGGTCCTTGTACGGCCGGGCCGCCCGGGAAAACACGGTGACCCGGGCGGCCGGGCTGGTAGTCTAGGTACATACTAAATACTACATACTACATACTACATATGACATATATTTTTATAACGTTTTGTACCATAAATCCTTCCTTGACATAATTGAAGCTTTTTGATAAGCTAACTCAATACAGCTTCAATTGAGCTAGCTTTATTACTGTTGGGCCTTCAAAGCGTTTTATCGAGTTAGCTTAGCTTACACTCAAGAGGTAATAACTCAAGTGAAGCTTTTTTGATTGACTTAGCTTAGCTTACAATCAAAAGCCAATAACTCAAGTGAAGCTTTATTGAGTTAGCTTATCACAAGAAATTGAAGTGCCCCTTAGTCGAAAGTTGTCCGAGGAGCTAACTTTTTTTTTTTTTTTTTTTTTTTTTT